GGGGTCAGACTAGATGATCTATTTAGGTCCCTTCTGACCCCAAACTACTATGAAACTATGAAAAACAAGGTGCATATTTTATGTTGAGGTGTGTTGCATGAGAAACATGGTATGTTCTTGTTATTGCTCTTCCTTTTCTCTGTGTTTTTGTTCTTCTTCTCCTTGTTCTCCTTATTCTTGTTCTTGTGTGATGGGCTAGCTGGCAGTGATTTAGCCCAGGGGTTTTGAAAGGGCAAAAGTTGATTGGAGGACTTGGGATTCCCTTTCCTCACCAATCAGGCCCCAGAGACTGACCCTCCATGTCCCCTGATTGGCCCCTTGGGTCACCTGGAGGGGGATAAAAGGGGAAGCACTGCTGACTCAGGGGAGACCAGTGAGGGACCACAAGGAAGGAGCTTCAAAGAGCTGGCAAGAGCTAGGCCAGCGGGGTGGAAGCAGTTGCCCCAGAAGACCCTGAAGGAGTGGGACCTGCAGGCAGCAGTTGGACCCTCAGCAGCACAGCGTGTGGCTGGCAGGAAAGGCTCCCTGCTGGGCTCCAGGATCCCTTATGGGAGGCTGTGGCCAGCAGGAGAGGCTCCCCAGCTCCAGCAAGGATTTGAGCAGTGACCTGAGAAGTTCGCAGCTCTGCTTCCAGCTCCTCCAATAAGAGGCCAGGAAGCTTGACATGAGGCCGGGGCTCCTGGAAGGTCAAGACCCCTTGCAGCTTAAAGCAGTGCTAGCACTGGTGGTTGTATGGTATTGTTTCTGCCTGCTATGTAGGAGATCTGAGGTCAAGTCCCAGCTGGGATGACTTGGTGTGAGTGAAGTAACAGGAAGAAATCCTTGTTGCAGTGGAAAGGGGCCATTGTGTTTTCCCTCTTTCCCCGCCTCCAGGTATCTAGGCCCTATATTCTTTGTTGTTTGACATTTTGTATTTTGTTCCTTTTCACCAACCAGTATTGTTTGTTGTGCTGTTTGTGTATTATATTTTGTTAACCCTGTCTTTTGTCAATGATTGTAAGTGTCTAACCTGTGTTCAATCCTGCCCCCTTGGGGCGTTGTAGTGTTCCCTATACCCCCTGGTTTATGCTTGTTATGTTCCCAGTACTGTTCTTTCATTAAAAGGTATATGGTTAAGGCTCCATTGATGGTCTTGCTCTGCTCTATAGGGAGAAGAGAGTCCCTACACCTCCCACAGCGCTTGTGCACCTGCTTTGATCCCTTCAATTGGAGAGGGGGTACCTCTTGGAGTACCGCCTGGGTTACACTTGTTTGTCTTATTCTTATTTTTCTTCTTGTTCTTCTTTTTCTCTTTCTCCTTCTACTTGTTCTCCTCATTCTTCTCCTTGTTTTTATCCTTGTTGTCCTCATTCTTCTCTTCCTCCTTCTCCATGTTCTTTTCCTTGTTCTCCTTCTCCTTGTTCTCCTCATTTTCCTTCTCCTTGTTCTTGTTTTTCTTGTTCTCCCTGATCTTCTCTTCATTCTTCTCATTCTCCTCTCCTCCTCCTCCTTCTTGGTGTCTTCTTGCTTCTTGTCCTTACCCTTCTGCATTCCATTCCAAACCAAAATCATGCCTTTCCCATCCTTTTTGGGTCATCACGGTGACAGCATCCTTCCTAGGCTTTCCAAGTCAAGACACCTCTTATATTTGCAGGTGAGTTATTTGTGAGAAAATATGATATGGTGCGTCTTCAAGCCAGGTAAAGGCATTGCTGACATCTGGACCAGTGCTGGGGCCCCCAGAAGGTTCCTTCACCCCTATGTGGGAGCCCTTGAAAGAGGCCTGGACAGACATCAGAGGGTTAAAGGGGTTTGTTGGAGGTTTATATGGCTTCCTCTCTCATTCTTGTCGTGGCCGAGGGGCTGTGGCCAGCAGCCCGGGCACGTAGGCCGGGGAAAAGGTCAGCACGGCGAACTAGAATTAGGCACTGACGCGTAGAGGTTGATTAAAGATTGTTTTACTTACACCGTAGGTGGTTGCGGTGCAGGCAGGAAAAACTTTCTTGAGTTGCAGTTACAGACAAACACAAGCAGAGTTTGCTAGGCTCCACCGAAGACACACGAGCGGAGTTTGCTAGGCTCCGCTAAACGAACACCAACAGAGCTCTGGATACCACTCACGGAGTTTGCTAGGCTCCGTGGAACGACCGAAATGAGAGTCCGAAAGGTGACTCTCCATGAGCGCGCAGGGTAGGATACGTCGAGGGATCGTGCGGCGACGGGGAGAGGCTAGAGGTTGATCAGGCCCCTGTATCCTCCTCTAAGGCATACGCGGAGTTTGTTAGGCTCCACAGCACGCTTAGCGTTCTTCACGAGATGGATGTGAAGTCCTCCAACTTGAGCAGAAACTGCTCAAGCCTCTTATACGGCTAACAAGCCAGTCGCTAGCCGCCACATGGGAATAATTTAGAAACAGCCAATAGTGGGAAACAAATTTACATACGGGTGGTGGGAACTCCTTTGCACCGGGGTTTTTCTCTCTGCAACTGAGGATTGCACCATGAAAAGAAAGCTCCATGCGGCGGGAAATAATTCTGCAGTGCCGAAGCGCACACAAAATCATACCCTTTGGGTCATGACAATTCTCTGCCTCCCTGCCTGTGAGGCCCCTACAATGGACAGCAGAGGGTGATAATATCCAGCTGATACTGGATTAGCTCCTGTGTTATCCCAGCCTGGGGGGGGGGGTCCCTGTACAGCAGCTAGTGCCTGTTCCCATTCCCAGTCTGGGGTGTCTATAGTGCATGGTGTCCTATTGTCTCACCCTTGGGGGCATGTGCAGCACCATAGAACCCTATTGGAAGAAGAAGTGACACCATAGAATCTTGGAGAGAGGGCAGTAACATCATAGACCCCTATGGGAGAGAGCAGTGACATCACAGGACCCTGGGAGAGGGACAAGTGATGTCAGAACAATATGAGAGGGAACAATGACATCATAGAACCCTGGAGAGGGGGCAGTGGCATCATAACCCTATGGGAGGGGGAGAAGTGACAGCATGGAACCCTGAGGGAGGGGGAGCCCAGCAGGGTCTCAGGACAGGAAATGATCTCAGAGAGACCAGTTGGGAGGTGGCCATGATATCATAAGAGCCTTCAGGGGGGTGCAGGGATGTTGTAGCAACTCAGGGAGGTGCTGTGATGTCATAGAGCCTAGGTGGGCAACCAGTAAGCCCTGGGGGGCAGGTGGGGGCAGTGGCTGGGGCTGCTCTGCCTGGGGACCTGGGGAGCTACACCTCAGACTATAGAGTGAGCCCTGTCCCTGGTGGACGGGAGCATGCAGGATTGGGGCCCTGCAGTTTTCATAGCAATTGAGAAACCTGGGGGGTGTGCCAAAGGACCCAGGAAGATGCCCTGCCCCTCCCCCACCCAATGCCATATTTTATCCCCCCCCTTCCCCCGACTCCCCAGGCCACCATGGAGGCTGAGGACCTGCGCCTGGCCCTGGAGCGGCAGCGGGATGAGAATCGGGAGCTGGTGGAGACACTCCTGCAGCTGGAGAAGGAGCACGGGCAGCTCCAGAGGGACCAGAGCCAGCTCAAGGAGGAAGTGGCTAGGTCAGGAGGCATGTACACACAGCCTGATCCCGGCCTTGGGGATCTGTGCAACTCCTAGCACCCCCTGATTCTGGCCTGAGGGGTCTGTACAGTGCCTGGCATGATCCACAGCCCCTCCCCTCACTTCCCGCAGGCTGCAGCACACCCAGACAATGTCAGAGGAGCCCGATGGGATCCTGGAGGAGCTCAGCGCCCTTCAGACCAGCCTGGCTGAGAGGGAGCAGGAGATCAAAGTCCTTAAGCAGCAGAGGCAGTGTCTTGTAAGTGGCAGGGGTCTGTCTGACCCCCTATCCCTCTTGATTATTCATTAGCCCTCACGAATATTCAGTACCCTGCTTGAATCATTTATAGTTGCACTGCATTCAGGGTTGGTTTTCCCCAGGCAGTGTTTTTAATGAATAGTCAGCATCACCTTTCCAGACTCAATCACCTTGGTGAACATTGCAGGTATGACCCCTCAGGACCCTATTACAGTAAATATTCAGTACCCTTATTGAATATTTAATACTGTTATTGAATATTTGGCACCCTTGTTGAAAATTCACCATCCCTATTCAATAGAGCAGCACCCCATTAAACATTTGGCATTGCTATTGAAAATTCAGTACCCTTATTAAATATACAGCACTCCATTAAATATTTTCCATTGCAACTGAATACTCAATACCTTTGTTTGAATATTCAGCATCCCTATTAAATATACAGTACTCCTATTGAATATTTGGTGTCACTACTGAATATTCAGCACCTCTCTTGAAAATTCAGTGCTTCTATTACAGTCAGGAGCCCAGTTATATATTCAGCATCCCCTCTTTACTGTTTGGGACATCTCATGGCTCTTTAGGGTTCAGCTTCACTAGTTAGTATTGCTAAGGAATATTCAGTATAGTACAGGTCAGTCGCATCATACGCGCATTTAACTTACGTGAATTCAACTATACGTGGGGTGGGAAGGGGGCGGGGCTTTAGTTTGCATGCGGCGCTGCCGCTTACCTGGAGGCCCATTATGGCGGTGATGGCTACAGCCTCCAAAACCTCCCGCTATCGCCATGGAGCCGTGCCCAGAGCTGTGTGGCCGGGAGCCAGGCGGCAGCGTGGTGGTGGCCGGGCAGCACGCCGCCATCCCCACCACCACCACCACCCCGCGCTGCGCCGCTGCTGCCAGCTGCACAGCTCTAAGCACGGTGCCGCGTGCAAACTCAAGCCCCGTTCCCCTTCCCACCCCGTGTATAGTCACCGATTTTTGCCTTACATGATTTTCGCCTTACGCGCTGACTTCAGACCCTAACCCCTGCGTAAGATGCGACTCCACTGTATTTCCATATTAAGTCCCCCTTCTTAATATTTGGGGGATTCAATGAAGAGTCATAATCTCTCTTGAATAATCAACACCCCTCTTATATATTCAGTAGACCTCTTGACTGAGACATCGAATGATATTCATGGTTCATCTTGACTAATTAGTATTTCTAATGAATATTCATCATTATCTTTCAATATTTAGTCAGCCTTATTATGAATAGGTGGGATCTTTAATGAATAGTCACAATCCTGTTGAATATGCATCATCTCCCTTCATGATTGGGAAGGTATTCTTGACCCCCTTTACTATTGGCCATGTCTGATCAATACTCAGCACTGTATTTCCATATTCAGTAGACCTCGTGAATATTCATAATGTTAATTGAATAATCATTTAACCTCTTGAATATTCAGCAACTCTTTTGACTATCAAGTCTGCTTAAAAGAGTCAGGTTTTCTTTCACCTTATCAAGATGTCTCATGAATATTCAGTGCCGTGTTTCCATATGTTGCAGCTATCTCGAATATTCAGGATCTTCAATGTATAGTTGCCCTGGTTTATCTTCTAATTAATAGCCCATGCTTTATTTCTATATGCAACAATTGTGCTGAGTATTTAGCACACCCCATGTGGACTCCCTTTCCCTATTGAATATTCATTGCCTCTCATGGCAACCTTGGATTTAGCAGGGGTCTATAGGGCATTTGGGGGCAGGGTTAGTCCAGGCCATGCCCCCCATGCCTGAGTAGCCTCAGCAGGGTCCCTGAAGTGCCCCAGGCTCCCTGTCCATCCATCCATCTCTGCAGGAGGCTGAGAAGCAAGAGCTGAGATGCTCCATCCAGGAGCTGATGACAGAGGTAGGGTGGTTTAGGGGCAGGGGAACTGGGATGAAGTGCATGGTACTGGGAGGTGGAACTGGGAGGCATTGGTCTGAGGTCTTTCCTGACCCCTATAGAACCTGGGTCTGACCAAAGGCAATTTCCGGACCCACCAGCAGCTTTTGGAAGCAGAACGAGCCCTCAAGCAGCTGAAGGTGAGAGGAGTTTGTACAGTGCCCAGCACCCCCTGATCCCAGGTTCCAGGTTTGCTACAGTGCTTGGTGCCCCCCAGTCTTGGCCTGGGGGATTTGGGATACCTTTTGCCCCCTGACACCCACCCTACCACCAGGTCGACCTGCAACAAGCCAAGGATGAACGGGACAAGAGGGAGAAGGACCTGTATAAGGTAACACTCCTGTGGCCTCAGAGATCCCAGCCAGGGTCCACAGCAGCCTTTGCCCCCCAGTGCCTGCCCCCTGGGGCCTGGGATCCCCCTGCTTTCTGCCACAGACTCACCTAAGTGACCCTGGTCGCATCCCTTAGCCTGCAGCTTTCAGTGTCCCTCTAGGGGATTTAGGAGATCCATGCCTGAATCTCTTGTTGGCCATGGCCTGCCAGAAGAGATCCAAGACACCTGGTTTCCCTGAAAGCCATGGCTTCCCCTTAAGGGTGGGCAGTGGGGTTCCCTGCTCTTCAGGATCCTCATGGGAGCTGTACAGAGTCTGGGATAGCTAGGGAAGGGGTAATGGGGGCCCTCTGGCCACTGTGGGCTGTGGCTGCCTTCTAGGAGCAGCACCGGTCAGCTGAACTGGAGGAGATCCTTCGGGAGCATGCAGAGATCAAGGAGGTAAGGCAGGGGGATTGCGGCCTTGGGAGCAGAGGGTCAGGGATGAAGAGGTCAACGGTCAAAAACCAACACTGGGTATTCTTATTGGTTGCCCACCCAGGTTCTGCAGGGCAAGATCAACCAACTGCAGGATGAGCTGGAGGACTCTGAGCAGCAGAAGGCACTGTGAGTTGAGGGTGGGGTCATAGGGAGCCAAGGCAGTCCATGGTTGGGGGTTCACTTGTTGGAGTGACCCAAGATGGTGCCATAATGGTCAATGGGGTGGTCTACAGTTGGGGTGAACCAAGTTGGCTTATCCTGGTCAGTGGAGAACTTACCTAGTTGAGATGTATCAAGATGGCTCCATCATGGCCAATTATGAATGCCTCTAGTTGGGATGAACCAACTTGCCTCCATCATGGTATATGGTGGGGTTTCCCAGTTGGACTGAACCAGATTGGTTCCAGTTTGGCCAATGGGGACTGTCTTTACTTGGGATATACCAAGTTGGCTTCGTCATGGCCAATGGGTTGGGTTTCCATTTGGGGTAAACTAAGATGGCACCATTATGGACACACTGGGGGCAGGTGGGGTTACCAATTAGGATGTACAAGATGGCTCCATCATGGATAGTGGGGATGGATCTCCAGTTGGGATGTACCAAAATGGTACCATCATGGCCAGTGGGGCTGGCCTCAGCTGGGATGTGCCAAGTTGGCTCTGGCCCAATGGGGTTCCTGATGCTGGGCTGGTCCTCCCCACCCCTACCCTCCCACACAGCTATCATGTGGTCTGTCCCATGCTCCCCCCAGACAAAAGCAGGAGCAGGATGACCAGCTCTCCGGGTCACTGCTACGTGAGATTGTGGAGGCCAACCTGGTGAGAAACTGAGCTCCATTGCCGTCTGATCTCAGCCTAGGGGGATTTATACAGTGCCTGGCACCCCCATATCCCAGCCTGGGGGAGTGTGTACAGCACTTGGCACCCCGCCAATCCTGGCCTTGAGAGTCTGTACAGTGCCTGGCACCCCCTGATCTCAGCCCGGGGACGGGTCTTTCCCCTGATCCTGACCGGGGAGGAGGTCTGTACAGCATCTGACACATTCCTGAATCTTCCTGCCTCTTCTGACCCTCCAGGAGAACAAGCTGGTATCTAAGAGACGTGGCATCACCTACTGGTTGTGGTGAGTTGGATGCCAGTTCTCTCCCTAGGCCCAGATGCCTGGATTCCCTCCCCTCCTTTGTTACATCCTGCTTTACCCTTTGGGGAGGCAGGAATTCACCCTGGGGTGGGGCAATTGTTGGGTAGATCCTGGGGGATGGGGTCTTCCTCTTCTCACTCCCACAGACCCATCTATCCTGGCCATGCTGATGCCCTCTGGATGGCTCTGGAGCTCCCTCTACTGGTCCATAATGACCAAGCGGGCCTCATTTGCATGCCCTGCCCCCCATCTGACATATTCGCCTTCCCCTACAGGAAGATGGCTTCGCTCTGGGTCTGGCTGCAGCTATTGGCTGGGTCTCTGGGAGCAGCAACTTTGCTCTACACTTACTGTTGGGACAGGAAGTTGCTCTCCCAGGTGCTGGTGGGGGAAGCGGGTTTTGAGGAGCTCAGCGCTCGCCTCAAGGCCCTCATGATATTGCCCCACCAAGGGCTCCCACCCTTCTGAGCCTCAGATGCCTGGGTTCCTTCCCCTCCCTTTGTGTGCATGAGCCCCTCATCCTGGGACAGCAGCAATGGGTGAATCCGGAGTGACACCGAATTGTATCTGAAGGACCACCATCTCCCATGCTGGCTGAATCAGCCATCTTCTGTGATCCTCTCTGGTGGATAACCCTTCTGGGTTGTGCATTGGGGTCTATGTATCATAGACATGGGGCTCAGGGTCTTCCCAGGCAAGAGGCAGAAGAAGGTGGCTCTGAATTCACTGAATATTGTCTAAGGTCTTCTCTACAGGGGTGCGGGGTGGGGGCATTAATCTGGATTGACCCCACAAGTGGATCTGTCTGGAGTTCCTGGCATCAACTAGAGCTTGAATTTAGCTCAGGGAAGGGGCATGGGGCAGGAAGGATTCCAGCCTTGGACATAGTGGGAAGGTTGTTGTTGGAGTCTGATACCTCTCTGTGTCCTTCAGAGCCTTGTAATGACTGTGGAAATCAAGTGGTGTTGGGGCTTGATCTGTAGGGGAGAGGGGTCTGTACAGTTTCCAACACCCCCTGATCCCAGCTGGGAGGGGGTGTGTGTACAGTGCCTGGCACCCCCTAGTCCTAGCCTGGAGGGTCTGTACCACTTCTGGAACCCTCCCAATCCTAGCCTGGGGGGTATATACAGTGCCCAGTGCTCCCCAGTCTCAGCCTTTTGGGGGGTAAGTCACTTTGAGATGGTACAGGGCTGGTCTTCTCTGGTCTCTGGGTATCCTGAGGGGATAGGGTGCTTGTTAGGGATTGCTACCCTATTTATTTGTATACCACGTCTTTTTTTCTTCTGAAAATTAGCCGTCAAAACCTGGGATGTGTCTTAAATGAGGGAACTTGTTTCTGAATCATTTAGTTAAAGGGAAAGGTCTTTTGTTCTTCTTTCTACTGGCCCCAAAACAAAGTGTGTATCTTATTTGGGAGGGCATTTGGTACACAGGGAAGTAAGGTAATTGGTTTATCCAGTGGGAGAGGGTCTCTGTGATGAACCCAAGTGTATACAGTAGGACCCTCCTGGACTATAGTACCCTATTTAGTGATGTACAATATACCCACCAATTTGGCACCACAGTACTGTTTTTTATATGCCTGTACATTCCCCCAGTTACACACCACCATCCCTGCTCTAACACAGGGGTATTTGCTTAGTCCAGCTCCCAGCCTGAGGAAAGACATGGCTGGTAGCATAACTAGGTATGAGCGAGGGGGAGAAGACAGGGAGCTACTTCTGGTTCATGGGGCCCCTGACAGGTCAGGGCATTTGGGGGCTAGGAGAGGCAGGTCTTCCTGTTGAATCTGGGACTATGCGATATCTGTCAGTGGCAGAGGGATGAACCAAATAGGTCTGAATCTGACCTGAATTCAACTTCTGCTGTCTCTGGGCTGTTACTTCTTGAACATCATTGGTGTCCAAATACAAGAAGAAAAAAGGGAGAGAAAAGGGGAATTTTGGATTAAAACTATATCTATTTTTTCTGTGTGTGCAAATCTGTGTATTTCCAAGCCTCAGATGTATGAATAAGCCGTGAAATGATGGAGAAAGATCTCCCCACCCCGGGAAAGTTCAGGGAGCTGCCAGCCAATTTCATGAGCTGTGTTTAGCAGTGGGAAGGGACCTCCTGAATTAAATGCAAAGCAATCCTTCCATTAAGGGCTAATGCTAATGGAAACCTGGCTTTACTAGAGAATCATGTAAGAGCAAGGAAATGGGGACTATGCCTTTAAGTTGAGCATCTGGGTGGCTGGAAAGGGCAGGGTTTGGTGGAGGATATGAGCCCGGCCGCAGAGGCAGAACAGGGAGCAGTCTGATCCAGGTGGAGTATAAGACCAACACTGCAGTCAAGCCGTTGTCTAACCTAAGACTTTATTAAAAAAAATAAAAATGAAGTGTTGTTCTTGTTGTTGTTGTGGGTTTTTGGGGTGTTGTGGTGGGGTTTTTTTTACTATGGTTGATTTTACATGTCTAAAATTGATCCCAGACCTTCTCACTCACACCTGGCAGGAGGGTGGGGCCTGGCAAAAGAGTTACGTTGACACAACATAGAACAGCTATCAGTAAAAAGATAGAATCACCCCCTGATCCTGGCCTGGGGGATCTGTACAGTGACCTGTGCACCACATACCTGGACTGGGGGTTCTGTACAGTGCCTGGTGCTCCTGAACCCAGTCTGGTGGGGTCTGCACAGTAGGGCTATGCAAAGATTTGGGTGCTGATTCAATTCAGAGGAGATTTGGCCCGATTTGGTGGCTGAATCTCTGAATCCAAATCAAATCAGGAGACCAATGAAAAGGTCCAAATCAATTTGAAGCTCTCTGAATCAGTCCCCACTTGCTGCAGCAGGGAGCTGGACCCAGGCTCCATGCTGCTAAGTAGGGGTGGGGGAAGGGAAGCTAAATGAGGGGGGAGGGGACCAGGGGGAGACCCCTTCCAGGCCCCATCCCCTGCCTGCTCCCCCAGCCCCCCGAGTGCCCCCCGACCGCCAACCACAGCTGATTTGGCTGTGGCTGAATCTCTGAATCAGATTCAGCCAAATCGATTTGGGACAGTGATTTGAATCACCAAATCGAATCATTGTCTCCCCATGCAGCTGCACAGGAAGCTGTGTACGTTGGCTGGAGCCATTGGCAGATGCAGGCAGGAGCATGTTGCAGGCTGCCCACAGCAGAAGAGTCCAGGGCTTGGCCCCATGCCAGGCACTGCAGGGGTAGCTGCAGGTCAAATGAGGGTGAGCTGTGAACCTCATGGCCTGAGTGAGGTCTGTTACACGTGCCCCTCAGCCAGCTCCAGGGACCTAGAGTGTGGACAGCTCCCTCCCCTCACACAAGCCCCCCCCAAACTGTGCACCTCCCCCACGCATTATATAAGAGTAAGACTTTATTTTGAACTATTATGCAATTGCTTCTATACATTCATCAAAAACATAAATTAGGACAAAATATGTTTTTGAAATAAAATTAAAATGCCATAGTAGATTGTTAGCAAATAAAAACCTAGGATTCCAGATTAGCCCAGGGATTGACAAGACACCTCATTCGATGAGTGACAGAAAGGCTTTATTTACTAAAAATATTCAAAATCAAGTGAGCCCAAACCCAATCAAAGTCCAGTAATTAGCTATAAGGTGATGATTTTTCACCAAACAGGCATTGAAGAGGCGGTCTGTTTCTCTTCAACTTCTCAAGTAAGTCAGGTGCATCAGCAACTGGTGTCAGAGAGATTTCTCACTCTTGAAGTGTGCGCACTGTTTGCTGTTTTATTACCTTTTTATACCCTTAGTTTAGCATCTTCAAAGCATTCTTTTAGTTGTGTAAATCAAGAGAGAGTCGCAAGCAGTAATTGATGGGAAAATCCTGTTAATTAACCTGATCATTACTGGTTATCAGAAATTTCTAATTTGAATGAGTTACCTTCTTCAGTAATAAGAGGTTATCCATTTGGAACATATTAAGAAACTGATTAACAGCCAGGAAAAACATACGAATCCTTGAACTAAATCAGGAGGAGATATCTATCACATATGGAGAATGTCTCTTCCTGCACATAAATACAAGTTAATCGCAAAAGAAATATTTATCATACTAATTAATCAAGGATAGACATTTCATATGGTTACACACCAGACAACTAGGAGACTGCCTGAAATCATCCTGAATATAGCAAGATAAGCTGGAAGAGATACCTCATTATTTTTTTCTCAGATGGCCTAGCCATGAACTCACATCATTTTGCATTTTGCAGTTAGCTTCAGTATTCTGTATTTTAACTTTTGTGAATAGGCCTGAGCTTAGCATGAGTTTCAGAGTTATCATAGATGTTTGATTTTTAGAATATGATTTGGTTTTTTATCTATATTTTGTTAAAATTATATATTTTGAAAGATTTTATGTGTGTGGCACTCAACAGCTCACCAAAACTCATGTGGCCCAACAGCTGAAGTGAATGCCCACTCCCATCCTGCTGGGACCAAAGCTGGAAGTTCCTGGCCAGAGGGAATTGCCCTCCGCTCAGGGTCAGACTGATGCCAGATTGGGGGTCAGGAAGGAATTTTACCCCCTGATCAGATTGGTGTGGACTGAGGGGCTTCTGCCTTCCTCTGTAGCTGGGGCACAGCCTCTGCCTGTGATCTCTGGAGCTTATATTTACAGCAGAAATATGTTGGCTACTGCAGTCCCCCTGCTTTCCCTGTGTCTGGTTTAGGTGTGATGTCTGGTGTTGTGGTATGGTAGAGGGTTGTTTTACAAAGAGGTTTGATGATGGATTTGTCTAAGATGGTTTGGACAGGGTTGATCCTGCCTCAGGCAGGGGTTTGGACTAGATGTGACCTTTACCTATGTATAGCTAGATTGATCCACCTATCCGCCTATCGCCTATCAGCCTGTCTCTCTGTCTCTCTGCCTATCAGTCTATCTGCCTCTCTTTCTGTCTGCCTATCTGTCTGCTTATGTGCCTATCTATCTGCCTATTTATATCTATTTCTACAAATGAAGAGTTAAGATGGTGGATTGGTCTATCTATGTATCTATGTACAAAGAGTTTTAGATGGTGGATGTGTCTGGGATGGTTTGGACAGGGCTTATCCTGTGTCAGGCAGGGGTTGGACTAGATGTGACATCTGGAGATCTGTTCCAGCCCCACTTCTCTATGACTCTGACCCTGTACTTTTATCCCTTTTATTTTCCTCCCCTGCAGGTCATGGCCTCCTTTATGCCCAGTTTCATGAGCTCCGATTCTTCTCTTGTAGCTGTGTTGTTCAGGCTGTGATTGGAGCCTTTCATTTTGCAATATTCCATGACAATAAGGCTACTAACGATGAAAAAAAACAGGGATATGCCAGTCAACTGGGGGAAGAGGGGAGAGAATGTAGGTAAGTGTAAAGTTATGCACATGGGCAAACCCCAAACTCAGCCTACACCATGATGGACTCTGTGTGAGCTGTAACCACATAGGAAATAGATCTGAGCACGATGGACAAGTCTCTACAGACATCAGCTCTGTGCTCGGCAGCCGTCAAAAAGGCAAACACAATATTAGGGATGATGAAGAAGGGAATTGTGAACAGAACTGAAAGGATCATGATGCTTCTTTACAAATCCATTATGTACCCACACCTTGAAGACTGCCCAATTCTGGTCCCCACACCTCCAAAAAGAGACTAGAAATAGAAAAGGTAGAAAAAAGGGCAGCAACAAAGATGATCTGTGGTATGGAGGAACTTCCATATGAAAAGAAACTGAATAGGGAAATGCCAGAGGGAGCATGGGATGGATAGATGCATAGACAGAGTGTGGGGGATAAATGGATACAGCGTAGGGTGGATAGATGGTTGCATGGATACAGTAGGATGTGAATAGATGAATTAAGTGTGGGGTGAATAACTGGCTAGATAGGTGTGACCACAGCACAGCAACCCCCTGGATCTGTACCTGAAAGTACCCCAATTTAGTGGGGGTGGGAGTCGATATGGGGTGGAAAAGATGCACTCTGTACAACAGGAAACATGGTATTATGCGTCACCCTTTCACTTGGGATAAGATGATTTTCCTGGGGGAGGAACCAAAAGGGAGTGTGACCACACCGCTGATCTGCCCCTTGATACACCCCAACCTGGGGATGGGGGTTGATTTTTGGGTGGAAGAGGTGTGTATGTACACCTGAAAATACAGTAGTGTGCGCCAGGCTCTGACCTGGGGTGTGATGGCATTCCTTCAGGAGGAATCAAAGGGGCAGGGAGGGGGCTCCAATAGCACCACTGCACCTCCCTGAATCTACCCCTGACTGCACCCCAATTTTGGGGGATGGGGGATTTTAGGTGGTAAAGGTGGATTTTATACACCAGGAAATACATTAATTCATGCCAGCCTTTAACCTGGTGTCTTAGAATGAACTACTGGGTTCAGAAGATTCTCTGCGCTTGAACAAAGGACATACGGTTGTTCTCACTTTTGCAAAGCTTTATTTAAGGATACTCACAGAGGCAGGCAATAGGACAGAGCAGAGAGGATGATCACTTCACATTGGCTCTAGGCAGCAGCTACCACTCTGCATAGTTCTCTTGGCTCTGGAGTGTCTCAATCTCGGGGATGCAATAGCTTGCTGTGGGCTCTGCGCAAGTCAGGATTCTTGCCAGAGTTGAGGAACTCCCAGTAACTTAAGAATGTACAGCTTATATAGTCTGGCGTAAATAACGTTATCTCGAACTAGGGATTTGGTTATCTCAAGCTAAGAATTTGGGGATGAGTCGTGATCTAACATACTTGGTGTTTACTACATTCCGCTGTATTACAACATTCTACTATCTAGGTTCATGGTTTGGTCACTCTCACAGAGCAAAAACCTACGTGCTATAATATTGGCTTACTATGGAGTCAGCATACAAAACTCTTGCTATGAGCATTAAGCAAAGCTCTTACTATTACAGTCTACTCTTCGAGGTGCCCTGCTCCTAGAGAGGGGAAACTGCCAGGGAGAGAGCCCTGGCAGGGAATAATGAGCACAGCTGTGGGTTGCCTGGGGCAACCAGGAAGTCAGCTGACCAGAAGGGGCAGGGCCTGGCCCTCATAAGGCCCAGGGGCTGAGGCTAGGCTGGCAGTTCCCTGCCAGCAGCCAGAGGGGCAGGAGCTCCTGGAGTTAAGATGCAGGAACTGCAGGTACAGCTCAAGCCAGATAAAAGTAGGCAGTTCGAAGATGTCTGAGCAACGTCGTTATAGCCAGGCGGCTTATAGTTATGTTATAGCCTAGGGGCTTGTGTTTTGCGGTGTTGTTGTTATATGTATTACACCGGTGGTTTGGGTGCGGCTATTAGGGCTTGGAGGAGGCCTCATAGGGGACTCACAGCAGAGTGTGAGGACCCCAGCGC